ATTTGGATAAAGCAGTTTCTGTCAAACAATGTCATGTGAGCGATACAGACTCCGAGGGCCTCTGGTTTTATTTTGCTATGCTCTTTGTTGAAAAATGAATAGTCTCCAATTGGTAATTTAGTTATGGTGGCTATGTAATACTTTCTTTAATCCTGTGGTGTGATAACCCAGATGATTTGTATCTATAGCACATCAGTACAAGAAACAGTAACAATCACAGAGAACTTATTCAGCATAAGAAATAACAGTTGTTCTTATAACACGACCAGTAGAAGATTAGAGTGTGACATCTCATTAACTACACGGTCAGCTTCATCTTCAACTTTTTCAGCTGTACTACAATCATATGTACACTTAGGTTGAAAGTAGTGTGATGAGATGGTAAACTGATTATAGACCTAAAAAAATACACAAGATATTAACAATGTACTGTAGTCAATTCTGATAGGCTTTGTTTAACACTTGCTAGTTTTTGATAATGTGTGAAAGTCTGTGGCCCCCCTCATCCCTGTTTAGTACTGCCCCGCTGCGACATATCCAGATGGCTTCATTAACCAGTCGCTTGAAAAGGTTGTTTTCCCTGTCAACTCTTTTGGAATTTTCCCAAGAATTATTCAGCATGACATTAGAATTCTTGTTGTATAGCATATAGCCTGACAATACATTGGTATATATAGACTGCAGAAAGGTATTATCAGCCTTTAGACCACTGGTATTAATGAAACATGAATGATAAGCCTACTCATGAAAAAGGTCATTCATTGAACGTTGTAAATTTTTAGAATTAAGGAAAACTCAAATTAGAAATGTTGAAGAACTTTTCCTGAATCAATTCACCACTCTCCCTTATTTGGTTTGCATACAATCATATGTCTGTAAAATATAGATATATAAAATATGTATACATATCTATGAAATACATGAAGTGTGAGGGTAATGTTTTCACCAGATGGATCTAGGCAGAATATTTTATCACGTTTTTTCTTGATAATATTACTGTTTTTAGAACAATATAAAGGTGGAGTTACCAGACTTTCAATATCAATGTTTTAGAACAGTATTTGGTTTAGTAAAGGAACATTTCACAGATGGCTCTCTGATATATATAAACTCGCAATATTAACGAGAATCCCATTCACCAGAACTCTTGTTTGTAACATAACAGTGTGAAAAAAATTGCCTGCTGATGTTGAGCCTAGTCCTCTAACCAAGGTAAATATTTATAGAACTTATTTTTTACATGTTGTAGTGGCCAAAGAGCTTATTTGTAGTAAAAAAATGTGAATTGAAAAAAAATTATAGGGAAAAAGAATCAAAAGTTTTTGTATTCAGGGAAAACTTGTGAGAAAGTGATAATAATCTTAAAGCTAACATTGCTTGTAATATACAGGATAACTAAGTGACATGTGTACACAACATGTTACATCTGATAGTATGCATTAACAGTGAGATGTAGTACACTTGTAGTGGGATTGATTGGGGATACAGCTGTGTGTCCACTAGGCAAAGCACACTTGTCATCATATAACAAAGTTACAGATGCAGGAACAGAACTTGATTTGTAAAAGATGAGTCAACCATCTGAAAGAAATATAATAAGAAAATTTGAAATCACAGAGAAGTTACTGTGTTATTGAATCTTTCTCTGGATTCTATAAAGTAACCAATCAGATTGCCAGAGCTTTCATTGTTGCTGCATTTTCTACAGTTGTAAATCTCTGTTTCCTGATCTGTTCTTCCATAGATACATTTGAGACATTCACATTATAGCTGTGCTAGCCAATAAGAATCTTATCCCTTGGGTTGAGATATGTTAGAGGGTAGGATCTGACATATGTTATTTGTGGATTGATCAAAAGAAAAAATCCAATGATGGTTCAATGACAAATATATAGATAGAAACATCTGATGCTGTTGGGATGAGGAGGAGAAGGAACTTCTGTATTGTACTTTGGTGCCATACTTTTGCTGATGACATAGAGTTGATAGGCCACCATTTTTCACTGTACCTTTACCACCTCTTGTGAACTTGATGCCCTGTATAAATCAATGCTAACACTTAATCAACTTGTCTGATTTCCAGAATATTAAAATATTCTATAAAAAAGTATACTATCCTGTACATGTTTGAAGTTGCATGCTGATGTCAAATTTGATTTTGTTGTGATTCTGAAAGTCATGATATACTGAATCAATACTGCTGAAGACTTGTTATCAGGGAGAACAGAAAAATGTAACAGAAGATTGATGCGTTTAGCCTTTCCTCATGTGATAGCAAATTTGGTGTATTCAATTAGCTTACTCCTGGTATTCTGGTCTGGAGCCATCATCTCATGCAGAATTCACATGACTACATCAATTTCTCAAAGAAGATTAACTCACATTAAAGCATCAAGAGTCAAAGGAAAGAAATAACTTTGTAAATATAGAGAAAAAACACAATTCTTAGAAATAAAATATGCTTTGATGTTGAAGGATCATTTAAAAGACAAAATCAATATTAAGTAATCTTGTCTGTTGCCAAATATGTGTATGGGTTGGAAAATGTGCCTTGACTTCCTACATTTTATTGGTCTGTATAACAGTTCGTCTGTGGAACCTAGAAGAAATCTGAGATGAAAGTTTTCATGGTTATGCCACAAGGTTGAAGGTCATGGCCATGTCTGCTTTCCTACTGAGAGTTTAAATTGCTTATGACATCTATGGGATAATGTAGAGAGTGTAACACCCTGCTGTCTTAGCTTTAGGTTCCCTTGTACTTAGTTGAAATAAGACTGTAAATTGTGGAAAATTCTCCTGGCTATGAATTATTTAGTTGTAGCTTGTGTGTGTCATGTATCTCCTAATCAGGTTGGAAGCGACATCTACTCCTGAATACTTATGAATTGTTCAAATATTGAAAACATCTTATAGTTTAGAGTTGTGAACATTTCTTATTATCACTTAAATGGAATGTGGCAATCTGTCCTGAGTCCTCTTCTCTGGCCTATAATGGGCAAAGGGCTTTAATTGTACTTAGTGGATAATGTGTGATCTCAAAACAGTGCCTGAAAAGTGTCAACACAGAGAAGGTATTTATGAAATTTTGGAAATTGATGGCATTGTAGCTGGGAAGAATATCATATGCCATAAAAAATGCGTCTGACAAATGACCTGCATTCCCCTATATCATTGTATAAGTAGGATGATAAACAAAGGGTCGTAACTCGGTCATGTATCAAAGTTTGTAAACTTATACCAGCTTGTAATATTCTTACAATCTGTTTCCTCTGCAAAAATCATTTCACTGAAGAAAAAAAAAATGAAAAAGAAAAAATCAATGCAGATATATTTTTGTTGATAATATTCAATATTGTATAGAGTGTAATATTCTATCTCCGTATGTCAGTTTGACAAGATCGCATGGTTATGACTTTAAAGTCTGTTGCCTTTTGTTATGTATGTCTGTGGATTCAGAGTGAGACAGCAGAACAGACAGCTGTCAGACTAATACTTTAGTAACAGCTTTCATTTTATCTCCTTTACATATAAATTTCCTATACTAGTGCACTTTATACCAGTGATATGAAAAAGTGTTTTTGTCTCATGGAAAGGAATTTTTCAAAAAGAAAAAAAAACATTTTAAAATTTAAAGTCCATTTCTATTAACAAAAATTGTACATTTACTGATACACAATGTACTATTAAAGCATGTGTTTTAGAAAAAAAAAACACTGGATTATTTATAGTAGCAGGTATATTTATTGAATAATCACCTATGTGACTTATTGAAAATATAATTAACTGTTTCAAGGAAGATACCAACATGGTTACAACTTGGCATGGTTGAATTGATGGGGTTAGGAAATTTGAGGAATATGTTTTTTTTTCAACATAAGTAAATTGTCTATGTAAAATCCTTAACCCAGAACAATTCTATCTTGTGTTTGTTGTGTATTTAATTGTCACAAAAGGCTGTTCATTGAATAAATTGGGCTATACATGTTAATGATAAATTAGTAAAAGAAAAAATCAGTCAAGCATGGAGAACCTAAGTGTGGAGATTCTACCTTACATGGTTAACTAATAGAAAAGGACATCTTCTCCCTTTCATGTTAACAGGCATAATTAACTAATTAATTTGTAGGAGCTGATGTTGTTATTTAGTCATTTACCTAGTCCTCATTATCTTGTAATTACTGTAGAAGTTGTACAGTTGTGAGATAGCCTGTAACCTGCCACACTTCTGTAGCTCACACTTTTTATCTGTTACATTGAAATTAGTGTAAGGAACGTCCTTCAAAACAACTGTGAAACTGTTCTATTTTTAATTCCTACCTGAGTTTCCAAATTTAGAAACAATGCACAACTGTAAATGTCATCATTGGTTATTTCTGTAAGTAAATATGCTTGTACAATCCTGATCAAAACTTGTCCTCATTCTTCCTAGAGCTTAACTAAAGACTTACAACTGTTAAACTACATGTACCAAGTATACACTTGGGTGCAAAATTATGATGGAAGGATAATATTTTGTATGTTCAAACACAGTAGTTGGATGGAAAAAATGAAGAATTGTAGTATATATACTAATGTGGACAAAAGAGGTTCAAAATTATGCTTTTTATGTGGATGTGGAAGAAATATTGTTTAGAATTATTTTGTGTGTGGTTGCGGAAATAAGACAATTTGAATAATATTTTGTTTGCGACCGTGGACAAATTTTATCCATATATCACTGTAATTTGTATTTTGTATTTTTTTAAGAAAAAGGGCTGTAGAAATTTACGAGATATTTCAATAGGAAAAAATAGAGAAAGAATAAAATATTCATTTTATTTTGGATGCCAATGTGGAAAAAAAGATATTTCTATAGGGAATGTGGCAAAAAGCCATGATTTTACTTTAATGACGTTTTATTTTTTGTTTGATGTAACTAATGACTATAACATTACCTTTATTGTAATGATAGATTTCATTATAATTTCATAATCACAGTATTTTATTTTTGTCCACTACAGAATGGATGATGATGACTACCGCACAGAAAGTGAAGTGGAGTATGACAGTGATCATGATGACCAAGAAGCTGAACAGGAACTAGGACAATGGATAGGACAGCTGGAATCCCTCAAAATGGTATGTACATCTTAATCCGAGGGCAGATAATTCATTATCCAATGGTCACAACTTTATTACTTAGTTGACAATTTTTCTTCAAGAAAATTGTAGTTTCATACAGAGGTTGGTAAGTGAAGTACAGGAGCAAGGAAATCAGGTTTAATACAAGTCCATTATTGTATACTTTACATATTTGACTTATTGCCAACCAGGCTGGCAACCACATGGATACAATATATTTTGTGTTAGAGATTTAATTGAGGTATCTCTGTGTAAACCATTGAAATGAAGAGAAGAAAATGAAATATATAGGGAACTGTCATCGGTATATTTGTTGAAACAAGAGATGTGAATTTCCTTACATCTTTTTCTTTTATTGCCAGCAAAATATTTTGGGATGGGTTAAATCAAGGTCAAGTATAACCTTGCCCTTACCACTGTTGCCAACAACTTTAATGAATGGAGTTACTGAATGTGGCATCCATCACAGTGGACGCGCCTCACTGGCAATGCTATAGAGTAAAAAAATGAGATCCTGTACTCTTAACGTTCTCACAAACTCTCTATTATCTCTCCTTCTTCATTGGGAACTGAAACATGCCAGAAATGTGAGGTATTGTCTTTAGACCTTAAAGTACTGTCTTTGTTATTCGGATGCAGACTTAATAAAAGAAAAATAAACTCTTCCCATATTATATAATGCTGCTTTTACCAATCAAATCTATTTACTTACAAAAGAATTTCATGGACGGAAAAGCATGTCAGTAATTGGATAGACAATGTGTGGCCAGCATTTCCAAGGCATGAGATAATTAGTTGTTATATATGTCCTAACAAAATAAACTAGTAGATAAGTCTGTTAGAGTTGTTCCCCTTGGAAAGATGGTAGCATATACTGGCCACTTCTCCCAATTTTGGACATACACTTTCAGCATTTATTCTAGACTATTTATATTTTTTTTCAATAATATAGTTAGTTCATCATAAAGAGGTTATTTGTTAAGTTTGTCAAAAAGAGATCTTCAAGTGCACTGTCAAGAGGCATGAAATTTTGAATGTTACTATTTGTCTTCTGTTCCATAAGATTGACAAGTAAGAATATGATAAACCTTTAAGATAATTACATTAGATATCTGTTCTTGCTACTTACTCTGTCTACACTTCTGTACAGTGTGATCTGTCCTGATGGAAACAACTCAAGATTTTTGAAGATCTGAATGATTTCAGTTCCTTCAACATAATTTTCATTGTGATAATTAGAGTTGGAAACCCAGTAACCAACCAACCCACGAACAAACCAATTTTCAGTTCCTAGTTTTGTTATTGAATTATGAAAGATTCCAAGCAAACACGTGGTCTGAGTTAATACGTCCTGGAAACTTTATATTGTCTATGTCTCTCTGTTTTAATATCATGCCAATGATTCTTCACAGTAATCCCTCAGGTCACCCATTTTCAATGATCAACAAATGACCTAATAGAACATTGGTGGCCATATCACAGTGAGAGACAGGAATTCTATTTACTATTACAATCACCACATGGCCAGTAATAAGATCTAAGTGTCCTTTCTTTATTACATTTCCATTCAGTTCTCGATATCAAATGTCTTCAAATGATTGAGCTAATAAAATAAGTGTCTCCAATGTTACAGAGATCGATATCAACAATCTTGTTTGTTATTTAATGAAAAACATAGATATTATTTCATGATTGATTTGCTGAATGGATAACCATGGAATTGAATAATATCATTATATAATAAAATGAATTGAATTTTCAGAATATGTTGATGTATTTGCAAAAAAGCTAAATAACAAATGTTTGATGTCTTTCCTTCCTTTAAGACTTTGATACAACTCTGAATTGTTATGCTCCTGAGAAACATGCTTTGGATACAAAGGTCTTTAGAAATCATTGTACTGTTAATATGCATTAAATATTCCTATAAATAGTTATAATAAGTATTTTTCACCCAACTTCTCTAATTTAGTTCAAGTTTGTTAAGAATGCATGTGAAATTCTGTCGGTACCATAAGTGAAGTATCATACACTTTACATGGTACTGAACGTTATATATGGATGGCCAGATGTTACAAGGATAATGCACTCCTGAACTCCCACTTAGGACACAAGATTGAAATGTTAATGTCACTTTTTTCATCAGGGCCAACAAGAGTGATTATGTTGGTATAACTTGTTTCAGATTAATGGTGTTAAAGAATGAAGGTTTATGAACATGTTGTGAAGAGAAAAACATAAAAATATCAAATATTTGACCTTTAAACAAGTGCAGTCAGTAAAGAAATCAGTTGTAATGCATGCTTATGAAACCACTGATCAACTGAAGTTTGACTTTGTACATTATTAGGAAGATCAACATCCGCCACACAAGGTAATTGATTGTGTGTGTGTTGGTGTGTTTGGAACGCTTTTCACCTAACCCTATGTTTGCAGTGCAATCTTACTAACTTTATCCATTCAAGAAAACAAAATAATAAAAATCTATCAACATCATTTTTTTTTTTTTTAATTTTGGTTCAATATAGATATTTTCTGTTCTCTTTTTATGTGCTATCCCATGTAACAATTTTTATTGAAAGGATGGCTTTAAATTATCATTACTAATAATTAAACTGAAAACTCAATTTTTTAACGTCTTCAATATGCTTAAAAAAGACATTTTCATTTTCTTTGTTTTGTGCAGACATGTATTCAATCCATTAATGAAACTGTTGCAATTTGCTTTTACTGTCCAATAAAGAAGTGTGCTTTTTTTTATCATGTTCTGTGTTCAGGATTTAAATTATGTTGATTTATTAGTATTCTGTGCCTTCACTAATGTAAACACAGTCACATTTCAGAGTTTCCTCCCTTTCAACAAGTGTTGCTTTTGCAGAGTTGACACTGATGAACTTTTTTACGAGTTCATTTATCTGCGTTATTTCCATTAATATTGCTCTAGATACTGTCAATATTTTACCAGATTCTTTAACACCTTTCATCATTTCAGTAGAAGTTCACAAGAATCTTATTTACATGGCATATATAATAGGTTATCACTTTATTTATTTATTTTATTTATATGGTCTAAAATCTGCTATTATGGTCCTTTAGCCTTTTTAGCAGATGAGAGATTATTGCTACCAGCCCCTAATTATATAGTCCTGTGTAACCTGCCCTCACTTACATTTATCTGTGTGTGCTGTGCTGTCAAGAAGTTACTGGACCCAAAGTTTTGGCAGAACAAAGATAACATTATTTATCTGTAGAGGTATGGATTTTCAATAGAATGATCAATCATTTGGTGCTAGGGGTCAGTGGCACACCGACTGTTGTGTTTTAATATAGGGTCAGTGACACTGGACTAGAGGTACATTTAGATCCTTGTACTTGAAAAATTAAACGATATTGTATTCATTAAAATTGATTTTGAATTTCTATAATGTGAAATCTTTCTATTTATTCTTAAGGCTAATGACCTGGGTTTGATTCTAGTTTTAGCTTTCAGTAGGAATGTGTCTTTGCCAGTTATTTTCCAGTTATTAACAGTCCCTTTGTCTGTTTACTGTAAGGGTTCCAATGCATCACTATAGGCTGCTATTTACTGTCACTTTGTTTATCATTGGAAGTTGTTATGTCATAATATTGTTTACAGCTAAGAACTCTCGTATCTGTTTCTGTATTGTTCAAGTGTCCGTGTCTCATTACTCGAACCATAAGATATTTCCCATGTGTTGGTGCACATGTAAAATAGAATCAAAATAAACTTTCTAGTGGGGTAAGGGCAAAAAGCTGTCATCAGAATTTTATCATGAACAATTATCTGATTTTTGAAAGGTCATTGACTTTGGAATGATGGCAAAATTCCAAAATAATTGTATGGAACAGACTCAATGAAGATAAAATTGAAGGATAGGACTTTCCACTCAGATGTGTTTGTGGTGATAGATATGGGGTCACTTTATACCCACACTTATCAGTAACTGTCATTTATATTTTACATAGAATCACCCCACTCTACCAAACACTTGTTGACTGTGTATATTCTATCAGATGACTTGATTGTGACAACATAATTACTACATGTTCTGTGAAGGCTTAAGGAGGCCATTCACATGTAGATATCTATCTGTTGTTTAAAAGGGTATACCTCTTCAACTTCTTTTCAAATATATTACTACATCAAATATCTGCAACAGGTGATGATGTAATTTGCAATTATGCCCTTGCAATTTCAGTTTCATTGGGGGATGGGCACAGCCATTGATGTCTTATCATTTACCTCAGATTGTGTCCATTCCACTCTTTCTTGTTAATTAATCTCTTAAGCAATTTTTAGTAGTGCTTTTTGCAAAAATCAACTCTGAGGTCAAGGTCATTATTATATTCATACCGTCATTTTATCTGAGGAGGCATACAATGTTTCCCTTATATCTATTCTTCTTCATCTGTTATACAGTTCAAACTCATCTTAAAATTGCTTGAGTCAATTCTGTTTGAGTTGAAATAATGTGCAAGGTTTTTCCTTCTTCATCTTTGTAATTTTAGCAAGGATGACACAAATTGAGAGAGTTGAAATTTTGATTGATTCAAAGTGATTTGTCAGTTTCTTCAATTATAAAGCAAGTGAAAAGTCCTTGTTTGTCATGAAAAATAATAAAACATCAACACATCTTTGAAAGGGTTTGATCAATACATATACAGAAATGAAAGTCAACCGTGCATAACATGTAACTTAATATACAGCATAATTGTTGACCTCTGATAAATAATTACTAGTTTAACCTCAAATTAAACGTCGTCTTCTTAACTAGTGTCAGCGTACTATAGCAATGACTTACCAGTGTTTTAAACAAGTACCTTGTTAAACACAAGACTTTAAAACTGACCATGTTTACAAGTGCAATAGACCGGAAACATGTGCAGTAGATTACCATGCGTCTTTAAAGAACAATAGATAGTACAATTACATGTACAGGTTGACACGGGTGAAAGATTGTCATATGTTTATTACGGTATAGTCATGGTTTGTTATTTGGATATGTAAACAAACGAGAAAGAAGAAATTTCTTTCTTTCTGATTATTCGCAGCCTGTTCAATCAACAGGTTGATTTACATTTTTTAATATGGACTACCATGCTATTGTAGGTCATGCTTCGTTCAACAGAAATCAACATCAGAAAACTGACAGCATTAACCATATTTGGATACTTCGTTTGAGTCAAAATTCAGATAAGTCCAAATATTTTCCATGGTCCTTTGAATTTCGAGATAACACGTTGCAGCTATAGATTATTCCTAGTCACAGTTAATATTCTTATTTTGAAATGGTAAAGTTTGATATGTATTCCATTTTTTGTCATTACCAAGACAATTTACTATTGCGCATCGTCTGTTGTCGTGCACTGTCCGAAAACCTTTCCTTTAAAACACTTCCTCTAAATAACGTCTTGTCTGGTAAAAACATCATTGGGGTGAAGAACCAAAAGGGTAGTTAGATAATACTTTGCTTCATAAAATGCTCCTCTTCCTTAATACTTGAATGGATTTCATATACATTTTGTCTGTAACATCAGTAGGGGTTGGCAAATAATTCTTAAATTTAGAAAGTTGAGTAGTCACTAGGGACTTGGAGGTGGGGCCCCAAATGGGGACATTAGACAATATTTTGCTTCAAAACACTACTTCTTAATACCTGAGTAGATTTTAACCAAATTTGGCCTTAAACATTGTCAAGGAGTGGCAAGGATATCAAATGTGCATGAAGTGATCCTGAGATTATCGTGACCAAATCTCCTTTTTATCACTTTGGTCCGAAATCCAACATAACTCATCTAGAACAAGTACCCTGAACTACTTCAAGTTTCATTTACACTTACATGAAAAATATTTGGAGTTTGATTTGTTAAGTAAAAGAAAGAGATGATTAGATGTTTTTCAGCCTGGTCAAATCTTCAACATGGTAACCACTGCAGTCATTTTGTAACATGATTTCTGTTTCTCATTCACAGTACCTACCATTTATGAGTTTCTGATACTCTCAAGGAATGTTCAAAATTTGAATTCATCAGATTTGTCAGACCACCGTCTGCAAATTCTATGGTTTGTCCATCCATTCATCGATTGTCAGATGACTGTTCAGGTCCATGGCCCTCTAAATGTTTCTTCTAAATGAATTGCATTTTCAAGGTGACTGTGTAGCTTTTGTCAGTGACATTTTTAGCATGTTTTTTAATTTTCCAGCACATACCTAAAGGAGAAGGCTTCTTAATCAACCCAGTGTTTTCTCAGCAAGAATTATTAGCTGAGAGTTATTTTCCATGGCTTTTTCATTCTTAGGATACACAACAGTTTAGCAATTCAGTCTCCTCAAATTTGTCTCTTGTTATATTCTAAAGAAGGTGTCTACCATAGCTTGCAAAACTGAGTTTGTATGTTGTTTTATTCTTTAAGCAGGTAAGTTAGATTTAGTATATCATCTATACCATACTTAACATATTTGTATTGTTTTATTAATGGTTCCTTTCTTATACCTCTCCCATAGTATCATGGCACTAAGGTCTACATCTGATCGGACTCTTGTTTGCATATAGGAGCCGGGACATACATGTCAGCCATACATATCATATAGGTATTTCCTGGTATTATAAGAAATGTAGGAAACATGTTTAAATACAGTACAGGCAGTCTGTTGATTGATTTGTTACTATGTCTGTCAAGTCTGTAGAATTATATACCTTTACAGGAGTTATATATATAGCAGTAATGAAAGTTTGTTTTCCAAACTGTCTGCAGGTCGTCCATCTTGTGATGGCTCAGATAACAAACAGAAGATACAGACTCCTGTATATTCCATGGTACATTCGGAAAATTTCATACCAATAGCAAAATTATTTCATCAAAACAGAAAAAGTTGTATTGATGCATTAAAATTACCTTATTTACAACGTAATGTTTACACAGTGCCTTGTTTGATCTTTTACCTGAATGACACAGGTCTCTTGACATTTGTGACCCAAAAGAGCATGTTTTTAATTTTAAAAGAAGAGATGTTCATGAGCTATTGTAACTATCAGATAACCTTCTACATCATCCATAGAGTGACACCCATCATTAGGAGCTCTTCAGACATGGAGATTGGGTTTGGTTTTATATTTTGAATGGTGTTATCAAAGGAGTGTCTTTGCAGCTAAGACAACACAAATGTAACATGAGCTTTTGTTTACAATTTTTGAGGCTGTCAACTTCCCAGGTGATTGAGAGAATTTCATTTGTTTTCAATTAACTTGCTTTGATTGGTGTTTATGTTTCCAATATTTGGACTGTGCATTAGTTAGGAGTTAAGTTTCCCTGCATAAATAAAAAGGATTTATGAAATGTACTATCATTTC